TGTGTTTGAGGTAAAGTATCTTGAACTATTTGTTTCACATCTTCATTTGGTGTCATTGAAATCGGTAAGTTTTCGCGATAGAACCAATTTCTGTCAGATTTGTAAATCTTAGCAAGGTCGTAAAAGCTTTTGTTGTTTCTTCTGACTAAATGCAACATAACCATATCTTTATCTTCTTCTTTCTCCATATCTTCAGTATAAATCATATACTTATAGTTCTTTTCCTTTCCTTTTGGTACCGAACGTGGTATTCTTTTCTGTATGTTTTTGTCTTTTGCTTCAATGACTTCATCTTTTGCTTCAAGCTTGTTCTCTAGCTCTTCACGTTCTTGTCTATGAATTTCATCTAACATCATGAAAATATAACAAGCGTAACGAGGTGAAGCCCACATTGCAACAGCATTTACAAGAAGTCTATGTACATACCAGCCTCTCAAACCAGGAGCCAAATTCTTGCGATTTTCGTACGGAATCTCTACCCGCGGTTTTCCGCGGGTAGCAAACATATGAGGAAATTCTTCTAAAAGTTCTTTTGTCTGTTGGTTTTCAAACCAATGATGTGCTTGCTTTGTAGAACGAAGAGCATTGAAAATACTTTGCATTTGGTACATATCGTCTTTGACCGAACGAATGAGACGTAACTGTTTGTTATACTGAACCCACTCGTATTCTTCATTTATGTCTTCATGAACGATAGCAGTTGTTGTGTTCTCTGATGTTGACATATCTGTCTTTACATACAAAATAAAAAAAATATTTTATAAAAAATTAGCGTTATTTTCTTACTTTCACAAAAGACCAAAAATAAACGCTTTACATGTATTTTTCAGCAACTTCGTCAAATAATTTTATAGCACTATCTATCTCATCTACTTCAAACGTTTCTTTACCTTTCGTGGGAGCACCATACATTTTCTCAAACTTTTCAAGTAGTTCTGTTTCAGCAGCTCTCATATCGTTAACAAACACAACCTTAACTCTATTGACTATACTGTCATATCTTTGAGTTATATTATATGTTCTTCCTATCTTATATCTCTTTGTATTGAAGTCCTTCGGTTTCTGAACGATGTAAAGTAAGCCTTCACTGCAACGTTCCGTATCGAATGAACCATATGTTATGAAGTTATATCCAACAACTGGGTCTAACCATAACAAAACTATTGGTATAAGACTTTTGTCTATAAGATATGCTGCAGTTCCATAGAATCTTACCGATATCATAAGCTCAGGATTTCTTGTCAAAATTTTCTGAGTAGAAGCAGTTCTAACCCAGTCGTGGGATGTTTTCTTTCCAGATAGTGTTAGAATGTCTGACAAAGAATATTTGTTGTATTTCTTTGAGTATCTTACGTTTAAATCACCTATTCTAACCATTTTGGTGTCATTGTCTATCTTTCTAACTGTTTCAAACTCAATGTTTGTTATATATGTCTTTACATACAAAATAAAAAATATTTTTTTAAAAAAACTAACTTTATTTTTTCTATCTTGTATAAAAGATATGATTTCAGGGATTTTTTTTACGAAGTGTCAAAGTTCACTTCGTCAAAAAATAACAGTTATATAATGAAATTTGGTCATTTTTTCACTGTTTTTCGTACGGAATCTCGTTCCTCGGTTTTCCTCGGGTCGCAATTTTTCACGATTTCAGGGATTTTAGGCGAGTAAGATTTTTTACGTACTCGCAATTTTTCACGATTTTCATGAGTTTTAGGCGAGTAAGATTTTGTCCCTACTCGCAATTTTTCACGATTTTCATGAGTTTTAGGCAACCCCGAAAAAAGTCGGTCTAGAGAAATTTCACGATTTTCATGAGTTTTAGGCGACCCCGAAAAAAGTCTGGGTCGCAATTTTTCATTTATTTTGTATAAAAGATATGATTTCAGGGATTTTTTTTACGAAGTGCAAAAGTTCTCTTCGTAAAAAAATAACAGTTATATAATGAAATTTGGTCATTTTTTTCACGATTTTCATGAGTTTTAGGCAACCCCGAAAAAAGTCGGTCTAGAGAAATTTCACGATTTTCATGAGTTTTAGGCGAGTAAGATTTTCTATCTTGTATAAAAGATATGATTTCAGGGATTTTTTTTACGAAGTGCAAAAGTTCTCTTCGTCAAAAAATAACAGTTATATAATGAAATTTGGTCATTTTACTCGGCAAAAATATATTTTAGGGTAGATGGTTAGATCTCACCTCTTTTCTCACCTCTTTTTTCATGATTTCATCGTACATGCTTTGTCAAGACTTCTTCGTAAATGTTTTGTCAAGACTTCTTCGTACATGTTTTGTCAAGACTTCTTCATCGTAATGAGCGTAAATCAGACAAAAATAATGTTTAGGTGAAGAGGTGCGATCTCACCTGTTTTTTCACCTGTTTTTTCACCTCTTGAATTTTCATGACTTCTTCGTAAATGTTTTGTCAAGACTTCTTCGTACATGTTTTGTCAAGACTTCTTCATCGTACATGTTTTTGTCATGATTTCATCGTAAATGTTTTGTCATGATTTCATCGTACATGTTTTGTCAAAACTTCATCGTACATGTTTTGTCAAGACTTCATCGTACATGTTTTGTCATGACTTCATCGTACATGTTTTGTCATGACTTCTTCGTAAATGTTTTGTCAAGACTTCTTCGTAAATGTTTTGTCAAGACTTCTTCGTAAATGTTTTGTCAAGACTTCTTCGTAATGAGCGTAAATCAGACAAAAATAATGTTTAGGTGAAGAGGTGCGATCTCACCTGTTTTCTCACCTCTTTTCTCACCTCTTGAATTTTGTATAAAAGATATGATTTCAGGGATTTTTTTTACGAAGTGCAAAAGTTCTCTTCGTCAAAAATAACAGTTATATAATGAAATTTGGTCATTTTACTCGGCAAAAATATATTTTAGGTGAAGAGGTGAGATCTCACCTGTTTTCTCACCTCTTTTCTCACCTCTTTTTTTTATAAGCGTTTTACATGAATTGTACGATGTATATTTGAAATCCTAAACAGTTTTGTAGCTTCTATTTCTTCGCTGAGGATATCGAATGTTTTCACAATATTGAATGTATCTTTATATTTCTTCTTGACATCTGAAAGAAGGAAATCGTCAGCAGTTGGATAGTTTTTGTTTAGAAATGCTAACATGTCCATTTTGTTTTCTGCTGGTTTCTCTGCTTCTTTCTTTAAGTCAGCATAGTCGTTTCGCATACGTTCTATCTCTTTGACGGAGTAGTTATATTTCCTCATTGCTGCTTTACATTTAGAACATTGTGGGTTCATTTTAGCATTGTACATTGAAATTTGTCCTGCAAGTACAACTATAGCGTCAATGGTTTTCTTTAACTCAAAAGTTGCTGGTTTTATTTGTTCGTTCCATACTTTACCTCTTCTATCTTTATCTCTTATCTGCCATACACATTCAGCAACTAACGAAACAAAGTTGTCGTAGGTCTTAAACTCCCCAGATTTATATATGTCAGAGATGTTCTTATATAACATGTCGCAGTCTTTGTCCATGACTTTGTGGTTGCAATGAAATCCAAGAAACTCATAGTTTACCTTACGAATGAACTTCTTTATTTCTACTGAGTCAGTTGCTTTGACTTCTATTTCTTCAAATTCTGGAATAGTAAGCTTTTGTTGTTGTATTTCAGGAAGTTTAGGTAGATGGTCAATAATATCCTGCATTTCATAAAGATATTCTTCATTTGTTTCATCTTTCGCAGTGCAATCTAAATCTCCTTGGAGAAGTTCCTGCTTTATCTTCTGGATTTCTGTTTCGAAAGTATATGAAGAAGGAATGAAGCTTTTCATTTCTACTAACATTGAAGTTGGGTTCATGACTAACGAGTTTGGTGCTGTTGTTGCTAACATGTTCTTACAATAAAAATAAAAAATATTTTTTTAAAAAAAACTAACTTTATTTTTTATTTCGGGAAAATTCAACGGGTGAGAAAGAGGTGAGAAAACAGGTGAGATCTCACCTCTTCACCTAAAATATATTTTTTGGTCCGGGAACAACAAAATTCAAGAGTTTTGTGTGTTTTCTACGATGGTAGAAAAGAGGTGAGAAAACAGGTGAGAAAACAGGTGAGATCTCACCTCTTCACCTAAAATATTTTTTATTGAATTCAGAACAAAACTCAAGAATTTTGGTTGAAAGAATACGATGGAGCCAAAAGTGGCTCGACCTCAAAACAAGCATTTTGTGAAGAATATACCAACCCGCCGAAAACAGCGGGTTGCTTTTTATACAAAATTCAACGGGTGACAAAACAGGTGAGAAAAGAGGTGAGATCTCACCACTTCACCTAAAAATATTTTTTGTCTGATTTACGCTCATTACGATGAAGTCTTGACAAAACATATACGAAGAAGTCATGACAAAACATTTACGTTCATGTTTGACAAAACATTTACGAAGAAGAAGTTTTGACAAAACAAGCATTTTGTGAAGAATATACCAACCCGCCGAAAACAGCGGGTTGCTTTTTATACAAAATTCAACGGGTGACAAAACATGTACGATGAAGTCTTGACAAAACATATACGAAGAAGTCATGACAAAACATTTACGTTCATGTTTGACAAAACATATACGAAGAAGTCTTGACAAAACATATACGAAGAAGTTTATTTCCTGTGTTGTTGTCTAAATGTCATGTTGTCTCATTTTTTCAGAGAAGTTCGTTTAACCGAGGGACCGAGGGACCGAGGGACCTGGTGACACCTAAAAACCATCTACCCTAAAATATATTTTTGCCGAATTCAATAAAAATAAATGGTTCATTTACCACAATATTTTTGTACAAAACGACCCCAAACTTTTAACTTCTTTTCTGCAGCTTCTAATGCTATCTTAGCGAGTTCATATTCTCTAAATTCTCTCTTTAAATCTTCTTGTTCCCATTGGTCTAGTTCGTATGGAGAGTCTCTATAACCATAACACATCTCATGTTCATGTTTCTATGTTTTTCGCACATTTTTCTAACTTCTTGTTCGAACAAAGGTTTAGCATTCTCTACTGTATCTTCAAGTTCTTCTTCATCTAATTTCTCATGAACTTTCTTGTCTATGGAGTCCATAATTTTTCCAACTGCTATACAATATTTTGGAGAAGCCCACATTGCTATATAGTTTATAAGTCTTGGGTCTGCATACGTTCCTCTAACCTGTTTGATTTCATCAGAAATTCCTGCATGAATTTTGTATAAAAAGCAACCGCCGGAATTCCGGCGGTTGGTATATTCTTCACAAAATGCCTTATAATACTCTTCCCAGGACTTATTTTCCAACAACTTTCTAAAGTCTTTCCTAAACTGCTGACACATCTTTGTTACATTTATATAACCATCCTTGTCTCTACGTAAGACTTCAATACCGTTATAGGTGCCTTTTGTGAATGTTTCGCCATTAGATTTGTTCGTGAACGTTTTTGCTTCGACTGTCATTTCAGTTCTTACAAAAAAATAAAAAATATTTTTTTAAAAAAACCAACTTTTTATTTTATTTCGGGAAAATTCATGAAAATTCAACGGGTGAAAAAACAGGTGAAAAAAGAGGTGAGATCTCACCACTTCACCTAAAATATATTTTTGGGTCCTTTACACTCATTACGAAGAAGTCTTGACAAAACATTTACGTTCATGTTTGACAAAGCATGTACGAAGAAGTCATGACAAAACATTTACGAAGAAGTCTTGACAAAACATTTACGAAGAAGTCATGACAAAACATTTACGTTCATGTTTGACAAAACATTTACGAAGAAGTCTTGACAAAACATTTACGTTCATGTTTGACAAAACATTTACGTTCATGTTTGACAAAGCATATACGTTCATGTTTGACAAAGCATATACGAAGAAGTCTTGACAAAACATTTACGTTCATGTTTGACAAAGCATATACGTTCATGTTTGACAAAGCATATACGAAGAAGTCTTGACAAAGCATATACGAAGAAGTCTTGACAAAACATTTACGAAGAAGTCTTGACAAAACATTTACGAAGAAGTCATGACAAAACATTTACGAAGAAGTCATGACAAAACATTTACGAAGAAGTCATGACAAATTCAAGAGGTGAGAAAAGAGGTGAAAAAACAGGTGAGATCGCACCTCTTCACCTAAACATTATTTTTGGGTCCTTTACACTCATTACGAAGAAGTCTTGACAAAACATTTACGAAGAAGTCTTGACAAAACATTTACGAAGAAGTCTTGACAAAACATTTACGAAGAAGTCATGACAAAACATTTACGAAGAAGTCATGACAAATTCAAGAGGGTAGAAAAGAGGTGAGATCTAACCATCTACCCGACATTCTCGTCAAATACAAAAAAATGAAAAAGTGTCATTTTTTTCATGTCCGAAGACTCGAAGGTGCAACACTTCCAAAATACCGACGAACTCAGAAGAGCAGCATGGCAATATCTTCTTGACAACTTCTTTGAGTTCTCCAGGTACACCTTGGAAAATGCTGAAGAACTCCGACACAGAGAATTTGGAGAAATTGCGCTCCAATACTACCTTGACAAACAAAGGGTAAAATAAGACTAAAAACTTAACGTTTAAAAAGTGACATTTTTATGAGCTCCGAGTCACCGAGAAAACTTGGTCAGATGTTAGCAGCTTACTTCCCTGAGGAGGATGGAAGCGTTACATACGTAAGGTTCAAAAACAACGAACCTGGAATTGCGTACAAAATTCGCAATTACATGACCATGGAAGAGTACGAAAGGTTCCTACAAGAGAAACCAGCTCTAAACAACTCAGAAAAGAAAGAATAAAAAGTTTAACTCGTAATTGTTTATTTTTTTACTTGTATGGGCAAGCTGCAAGAATGAAGTCGACTATCTCAGTCTTTGTCTTGACCAGTTGGACGGCTCTTGTGAGTATGTCTGTTTTGCGGTCTCCAGCTGGTGTCTGACCTTCGTAATTGCGCATGTTCTTGAGAGCTCCAACTGTAAATGATTGTAGGATGAAGAGTCTCTCAGACTGCTTGAGGTAGTCTTCACGGTCACGAACCGAATCTGTGGTACGAGTCGAATCGGTCGATTTGAGGGAAGAGACTGAAAGCCTGTCGTCTTCCATAGGGGCTGTGGCATAATCTTTGCGTAAGCGGTTCAGACCTTCTTCGAACTCTTGGTCTCTCTTCGATTTGGATTGAGATTGGAATTGCTGGGGTGGAGCTTGCTGGAACATCCAAGGGTTGGGGAAGTAAGGCATAGGCTGAGGAGGGTAGTTCGGGAAGCCTTGTGGTGGGTAGTAACCTTGAGGTGGAAATTGGTAGTAAATCGGAGGTACTTGCTGGAACTGAGGTTGCTGAGGAGACTGTTGTGGTTCTGCAGCTTTCGGTTCCTCTGGTTTGGGAATGGACTGGGTTGGTGGGACGTCGGACATTCGTTTGTGGCTTAACCGTCGGACCACAACGATAAAAATCTCTGCTACTAGCAGTACTGCTACTGACAGTAGCAGTACTTTTTCTGACAGTAGCAGTACTTTTACTGACAGTAGCAGTACTTTTTCTGACAGTAGCAGTACTTTTACTGACAGTAGCAGTACTTTTTCTGACAGTAGCAGTACTTTTACTGACAGTAGCAATGGTCGAGGTCGAACCTACCGACGAGGCAATTTACCTAATTGAAATTAACAACTGCGTAAAAGACTACTTGCGCAAGGTCATGAAGCCCAAGGTCAAGTTCACCACTATTTCTGGAAGGTCTACACTTCAGCTCGAGACTTCGACTGGAATTCCAATTCAAATACCAGACGGGACAGCCTACGATGGCATAAAGGACGCCAAAAGAGAAGCTCTTGTTAAGTTCCTAAACAAACGTCCTTGGATAAAAATACCAAACAAGGAGAACCCCTACCCCATATGAAATTGGCAATTCAGTCTCTCCTTCACTTCTCGGGTCAGCCGTTCTACATAACCTGTGAAGGCGACATCCAACCAGTTCAGTAAACCTTAACGTTTAGAGTAAAAACATTTTTTTTCATTTTTTGAATGAAGCAAGTTAAATTCGTCCCACACCAATCTCAATGGACCGATGAAGAGTTTCAAGCCATAGTTGAAGACGTTGAGAACGACATAGACGGCGAACTTGAAGGAGCTCAAATCACAATTGCAACCAAAATTGCAGAAGTCAAGGAACAGATAGCTCCACTTAAAGCTACCAAAGCTACTCTTGACCTCATGGATAGTTACCGTTTAGATGTCAAGAGTGGAATAAGACAATTAAAATTAAAACTTCTAAACTACGAAGCTATACTCCAAAAGTTAGCAGAAATGAGAAGACTTTACCAGAGCTACTTACATGTAAGGGACTTACCTTCAAGCAGTCCGACCAAAGATGAATTTGTTGACATTGTCCCAATTTTGTCCGAAAGTCAGCTCAGATGTTTCGAACTGCTCCCAACATATCCGGAATATGAACGTTTGCCTGAACTCTTCCACAATCTCAAAAAACGTTTTTTGGTTCTCATGTTCGAAACTTTTATCGGAAGAGACAACAAACGTTCAGAAGAAGAACAAGATATTATTTTAAACTTGTTGTATGACATAACTGTCATAACAAGCTTTTTGAAGTAAAACCGCCATTCTCAAACCACTTCATTTTTTCGATGTCCGAACAAGCACCGAAGCCAAACTCAATGGCAGATGTCCTTTCAAGGTTGCCAGACAAGCGCCCAGTTCAAATTCAAATTGCCCAATTGAACGCTCATCTGTCAAACACCATTAAGACTCTCCAAAGTAGTCTTATGGAAGAGATAACCAATCTCAAAGTCGAAGTCCTCACGAACCAAGCTTCCAATAAGAAAGTCCTGAACGATTTCGCGGAAACCTTGCGCCAATACAACATAGAGAACCAAAACCTTGCCCGACTCATCTACCGTTTCTTCGAAGAGATAGACGCCATCTGGAAGGTACTCGGAAAGGACAGAACATGCAACACCGTACTTCGTGAACACAGAATTGAAGAAGGAATTTTCGAGGAAGAAGAGGAAGAAAAGAAACACGAAGAAAAGGAAGTTTGGGCAACCCTTGTTGTCGATGACGCTTACGAAATTTCCCAACCCTACCCATACAAAATCCGCAACAAGGGGACAGGCAAGGTTCTTACCCCAGTCCTCAACAACTTGGGACACTTGAACCTTAACCTTCGGAATTACGGTTCAGTTTCCATGGGAAGGCTTGTCGGTATGCAATGGGTTCCAAATCCAGACAAGAAGTCGAGGGTCAGACACATTGACGGTGACAAGCTCAACAACCGTAAGGAGAACCTCGAGTGGTTCTAAGAGTAAAAAAATTTTATTTTAGGGGGAAACCCCAAGTAAATTTAGGTGTTTATTTGGATAAGTATGTTAAATTAAGGGTAATTTGCAAAATTAGTTCCCGACCTTTGAATTGGGCTCTTTCGTTATCCCAGTTGCGTAGGAGGTCGTCCCAGAGGAGTTGGTAGAATTGCCAATCCAAGGACGATTTGTCCTCCCAGGCATTGAGGATGTACTGCTCGTAGAGTTTCATGACCTCTGCCTTGCACCAGACACCCTCTCCCTTGGAACGTAAGGCTTCTTCGAAGTGCTCGAATGCGATTGGCTGCTTGACCATCCGAAATGACACTTTTTGTCCGTTTGGTCAATGTTCGTGTCTCGTGCCATAGTCGATGAAAATACAGACAAACAGGTTATATATGAGTTTGAGACCAAGAATGGTGTAACTCGACCTGTCCGATTCAAAGACTCCGAGGGCGACCATGAAATTAAACGGAAATTAGCTAGGAAGGAATATAAAAATTTTTTATTTCATGCAATGTTTTATTTCTGTGCCGTCTTCAAGTATGCCCCAGTACTTACGCTTGGAGAGGACATGAACTTCGGAAAATACCTTATCTAGCTTAAAACAGCCCATCTTTTCACCGACCATTCCCATTTCAATGAGTTTGTTGTACCCTTCTTCGTTCGTCATGAGTGCGTCAATGTTCTCATAGTAAACCACAACTTTGGATTTGACTTCGGAGAAGAATTTGTTGTAGTTGTCAAGGACTGCTTTTGCGAACTGAGGGTAAGACCAATGTTCGACAATAGATTTTAATGTGGTTACTAAGCCATTTTGACCTTGAGTGAACTCGTACTTCAAAACAAAAGGAGAAAACCTTTCAACAAAGTTGTCGACCTTCTCATAATGTTTACTCTTCATCTCTTGAGGTTTCTTAATGGAATATCCCCATGTCGAATTCATAAGCAATTTGAGTGTCATTGCAAGTTTGGAGTTTGAAGCTTTCCTAATATCATACAGTTGTTGTATGACTTTTCCAACTGTATAGTTCCTTCCCGGGAACTCACCATCTTCGTTTGGAATTCCAGTCGGAATATATTGGACAAACCTCATGTATGCAGCGTTAAGGTCGACATAGTATATCTTTTCGTTTGAGTCGAACTTGT